ATGTACAAATCAGTTTACACACAAAAATGAATGAGTTAATACAGTGTTTTATATTATTTTATTTCTAAATTCATCACGATATGGAGCTAGTAGTTTGTGTAATCGTTTAACAATATCTTGAGTAAATAAACTTACACCTTCTAATTTCCGTGATTCTTTCATAATTTCAGTTAGAATTCCCTGATCATTCCGAATATTTTTAAATAACGTGTACATCATTTCACTGTGCATGTGCAATTTGAGCGATAATAAATTTCTCACAATTCGAATATCAGCAGCAGGAACATAAAGATATTTTTCAGTAAAGTAATCGATTCTTTGTACTGTTGCTTGTTCGAAATCAAGAAGGTCTTCGTCGTCGCTTGGTTTTACTCGGAGGAAAAAAGCACCTCCCGGCACCACCAGGAACCCGATGGAACTCAATAGAACCCTGTGGAGCTGTCGCCAGCTCCGGTGGTACCAAGTTGCTCCACATGAGTTCCACTCAGCTTCAATGAGTTTCAATGAGCTTCAATCAGTTCCACTCAACTTCAATGGGTTCCGAAGGGTGAAGCTCATTGGAGGTCATTGGAACTCATGTCGAGCCACTTGGTACCACTGGAGCTGTGAAGCTACGTTTCCCCCCTCGGTTTTGCTGCTTTATAATCACCTTCGTTAAACGACAACTCAGTACGTTGATCAGTTGCTGATCGTTTTAAAGTCCGTTTCTTGTAATTTAACCGTTTTCGTTTCCCTTTATTATTACTTGATGACGTTGAGGTTCCACTACCACTTTCTATGCTTGTGTCACTAATTTGTTTATTCTTGATTTATGCTGGCTGTAAATTTCGTAAATCGATAATTAATGATGCAATCATCCCAACAATACCCGGTTTTATAACAAAAGCACCATCTGTCTGTTTAACATAAAGTACTGCTGCCGATTTATCTTTAAATAATAAATACATTTTTTTTAACATAGATGTAAGATTTCTGTCATTGTATGTACTGGCGATTAATGATCGTGCATCAAAATATCCAAGTTCAGTCAATAGTGCGACAATATGCGTCCCAGACTCAACGTTTAACATTTTATAATAATCTTCAAGAGCATTTAAAAAGGCTGGCCCTTTCAACAATAAGATATCTGACTGAAAAGTCATTCTTTATCTATACAAGTAAAGTCTCGTAGGTGCTGAACAGACTTTTATGTAATAATAGCGTGTTTGGTAAGCTCTTCCTCTGCTTCTACTGCAGTTTTCAAATATCTGAAAGGCACTTTCTGCTTATCGGTGCACAGAACCTTTCTGCTGATTCCACAAGCAGCCAAAAATGAGTAAATCACCTAACAGTAACCGTATCGTACCTTTCTTCTTCGTTTTAGTCACACTGGATAGACGACAATTCTATAAGAGAGAATATTTTCTCTCTTAAAGAGATCATCTGAAATATCTGCTGATGCAGAG